CCTGCAGAGAAAGGGACAAGTTTCCAGTCTCTAGAGTCCTGGGCTTCTCAGCCACTGGTTTAAACACCTGTTATCCAGCAGGGACAGCTCACTCTGTGACAGGACAGCTCTGCTCTCATGTGAGGACTGGAGGACCTGGGTACACACATAGAGCCCTGGAAACAGCTGGCGCACACCTTCAATCCCAGCACTCGGGAGGCAGAGCCAGGTGGATCTCTGTGAGTTCGAGGCCAGCCTGGTCTACAAAGCAAGTTCCAGGACAGCTAGGGCTATTATACATGGAAACCCTGTTTGAAAAACCAGGGGGGCGGGGGGGGGGCACAAACCTAGCTGTCATCAATTATGTGTGGGCAAAGAATGATTTACATATATTTAAATGATTGAAGCTAAGGAAGAATTCTACTCATGCTACACAAAAGTCTGAGATTCCAGTGAAGTGTCAACCAAGAAAACTTTACTGGGACACTGTTACACCCACTTTTTTTCATGTAGTATGGTCTATAACTATTTAAAAAAACTTTTAAAGAGCTCATTGAGGTACAACACACACCTGTCCTTTCAGTGTAGTTTGGTGACTTGGGGAAAGGCTTATAGCCATATAACCACTACCACATGCAAACATCATCCAGAAAGGTCTTCATGTTCTTTTATGGTCAACTCTCCTCACTTACCTCTGGTCTAAAGCATGTGGTTGAGTTTGTGCCATAGCAGTAGGGTTGAGTCATTGTAACAGAGATCAAATGGTCTACAAACGCCTAAAGTATGTCCTAACTGGCACTTTCTAGAAAAAGTATACTGACCCCACACAGGGCAGGGGAGGCCACTGTGTATCTTAGGAGGAACCCTGAGTCCAAAGGCAAGAAACGCCTGGTTCATAGCAGGTCACCCCACCCTCAGAAGCTCTGGTTTCCTTGTCTATAAATGACGATATCAACTGTGCCTGCCATACCTATATCATATGACTGACCTCAAAGATGTGCAAGTGCTTTGTAAGCTGCAAAGGCCTGCATGGATGCTTAGTCTCGCTCACCCAAGAAAGCGGGTCACCACTGTTGACATGGATGAGATGTGACCTTTCCCCTGGGAATCCTCTTTCAGCCCTTTCTTCTTGGCGTCTTTCTCCCTGATTCACCACCTCCTCCTGGCCTTTGGGGAGGGTTTCCTTAAGCCCTCTATGTATCGCCTCTTCACTCTGGACAGTTTCGGGGTGCCAGGTTACCAGCCTCAATATGTGGTCCTGCATCCAAAGCTGAGGACTTTTTCCACCTCATTGGAGGACAGATCTTATGGCGAATTCTACATACAACAGCCCACGTGCGTTAGTTAGGAAGTAGGGAAGAAGGGCCCCCAGGCTCCCGGTGTCTGGGGATTTCAGCCCATCGTGGCAGGGACATCCTCAAGGAGTGGTTCGATGTGCTGAAAACTTGCACACAGAGCTCCTGGCTGGGAAGCAGAGAGCTTGGGTTAGAATCAGAAGCAGATACCTATTGCTCTGAAGACCTGTCCCCACCGAGGCACTTCTGCAACCTAGTGGCCACGTGTCCCCAAGGTTTCATACATAACCTCCCCAAACAGCCCTACCAGCTGGGGACCAACCCATAGGGGACATTTCACATTCAAATACATTTTCACATGTAACACACCACACTGTTTGCTTTTGTACAGATTTGCTTTGTCGATAACACCCCAAGTCACCAGTTAGTGCTGCACTAGGGCACTGTGCCCGTGGGCCTTGTTTTGGAAATGGGCAATTTAGATGTAGCAGGGAATTATGCCAAAGAGGAAGTCTGTAAAAGGAGGAGGTAGAAAGCAACTAATAATTCTCATTGCCGATTTGAGGGGACTCGGAGAATAATGGCGTTGTAAGGTGAACCTTTCTATCCCTGTGACTTTTCTCATCCTTTCCTTGGTGTGACTAGCAGTCACCTAACATCAAAAGTCTGCTGTCACCCAGGAAACCACCTAGAGACTCATAACCCCATCTTGACCCAGGAAGTTCCAAAGGCCAGAAGAGAGCCCACCCCTTTCTCCCACAGCGTCCACCTAATTTCCTGATCCCTTGGCCCAGGTCCATTCTCACTTCAGCTGGAAAGGCCCTGAAGTATCTTTTCCCAGTTTTGGGCTCTTGAGCCCTGCCCCTGACCTGCTTCCGCTAGCTTCATTCTGGCTTGAGATCCAGACTCTGCAGGATTGGGCACAGTGTGTCTGAAGGCCTCTTTCAGCTCCGGCCTCTTAGGCTTTCCTTGTGTTGGCCAAGTCATTGCGATGGAGATCAAATGATCTACCACTCCTACAACATGTCCTACAGGGTATTTTCTGGAAAGATCTTTCCTGTGGTTCCCTTGATCTCTTGGCCTCCCTCCTGAGCCAGTGTCAAGGAGGTCTGGTGTCTCCACAATCTTTCACCAATGGCATTTCTGCTAGAGTGTCTCTGACAAGATGAGTCTCCAGCTGACTGTGTGGCCCATAGTAATTGCTTAGGTGTCTCTAAGGGATGGGGGACTCACCCAAAGGGCACCCCATTCCTTTGTGGTTATTTTTTTCCTGTTCAAAAATCTTTAAGAGTTAAAATTTTTCTTGTGTAATCTGGCCCGATGACATCAAATCTGTGTTCTGGAATGATCCAGAACACACTCACCATAGATGTCTCCCTGCCTCTCTTATCCTGCCCCTGCTCCACAATGCCTGGGTCCCTGTGAAATCCCTCTGCCTCTCCTTACTGCCAGGTGATTGGAAATGGCCTTTAGACGGCCCCTGGGATGTCACTTTGGTACTCCCAGCTTCAGTGACCTGACATCTTGCCATTAGTCAGAGGGGTCTTTCTTGCCTCTGTGTGCAGGGAGCCCTAGGGTAGTGCTGGAGAAGGTCGTATGATGGTTTGAATGAGATGTCCCCGTAGACTCAGGCATTGGAATTCTTGGTCCCCAGTTGGTGGAGCTGTTTGGGGATGCTCAGGGGGTGTGGCCTTGTTAGAGGAATTATGAATTACGTCACTGGACGCAGGGTTTGAGAGCCTAGAGAGTTGTGTCATTTCGAGGTTGCCCTCCCTGCTTCCTGCTTGTGGTTTGAGATGTGAAGTCTCAGCTGTTCCTGCCACCTGGTGCCAGGATTCCCCATCATGATGGACACTTATCCCTCTTGAACCATAAGCCCACAAAAATTCTTTCTTTTGTAAGTTGCCTTGGTCATGGTGTTTTATCACAGGATTTGCAAAGTAACAAATACAGATTGTACATTAAATCAATGTCCCAGGGGTCCTTCTGACAAGGAGAAGATAACCAAGGCTATTTGGAGCCTCTGGAACTTGGAAGTGGTAAGAATAGAAACAGCTGGCTGTGACTAAGGTCTTCCTGATCCTTACAAACCACAGGACCTTGAATCCCTCATGAGAAACATGGCATCTGCCTTTAACCTACTCTCCAGGCGCTTGAGGCCCAAGTTTCCAGCTGGTTCCCCATTGGCTTCCCGGGCTTGGTCTCTTCTGAAGGGCTCTGGTTCCAGCTGCTGTCTCAAGGGGCATTTGTGGTTAAGAAAGAGGAGGTGGGCTCCGACAGGGACTGTTCCTCCTGGAGCCTTCAGCTGGGGACAGGGATGGGAGGACCCCGCCCCTTCCTCTGTAGGCTTTGCTGAGTGAGGACTGTGGAGAAGCCTGGAACATCTGTTATAGGCTTGATGTTCTCACCAGCAAGGACCATCTGCCAGGCAGGTTTGTCCTCTGTGCACCCCTTTCAGACGCCATGGCAATTACCCCTCCAGGCTGATCTTGTACTTCAGAGAGTACCAGAGGTGGGAAACAGGCAGACCTACCTTACTTAGTCCTTTGCCCTCAACGACTTCCTTGGGACCTCAAGTTTTAGGAAATTGAATTCAGTTCGCATTCCAACACATTACCCATAGGGCCAGCAGTACACTAGGGAACATGGAAGGGAGGGAAGAAAGGAGGGAAGGAGGAAGTCCTAAGTATGTCCCCCTTTTAAGAGTCAGAAGAAATGAGAGGCTTTCTTTTGGGCAGCAGCAGACAGGCCGAGGTGGTCGGTAGCAAAACTCAACGGCATCACACAGATGCCAGCGGAGTTGGAGAAGACAGAGGGCAAATCCCTTTGGAGCCTGGAGGTGGAGGGCAGGGAAGGGTCTAGGGAGGAAGTGGGCAAAGGGGCCTCAGCTAGAATAACTAGTTTTTAATCGGCTTAGTGAACTCGGCATGGCAAACTAGAAAGCCACATAGGAAGGGAAGGGAGACTGGTCCTGGTCCTCACGTTGTTGACACCCAAGAAAATCTGGGAAAAGTCTCAGTGCCCTAACTATACACATAATCGTTTGGCATTTATTCCCCACCCTAAGGCAGACTCCTAATGGTGAGGCCTGGCTTGAGCTCAGCACAATGTCAAGTCTGTATTGACCCCATCCTATGAAGCCATGACTGAGGCTGTGTTTGGGGTTACGATGAATTGATTTTTTTGTCCACTGAATGCAGCAATGACATGGGAAGCAGATGTGGGTCTTTTAACATGTACTTTGCTAGCCACTGTCCATGATTTTAGTCTAGCCTTTGTGTTGTCTATGGCCTTGATATATACAAGTTTTATTTCCATCTCCAGAGTCCAATCTCCCCAGTGAACTTCAATATTGTTATACTGCTGGAAAAACGTACAGGAAAAGGTGATAGGGGTGTAGGGGACCCAGTTAGAATCACTTCAGAAATTCAGGGGAGATATGATGGTGGGTGTTGTTTTGGGGTGGTCCTTTGGGAATATGTTAGATGAAAACCAGAAGTCTCTTACCTATGATTTAAGGATTACAAGGAGTTTAGTGATGACCTTTTGGAGCCAATGTTGAGTGACTTCTGCCCTGTTATTGACAGTGATGATAGTGATGATAATAATTCATTATCATCTGGACATCCATGGGAAGGATGGATGGTTTGGCAACTATGTGTGTACCTACGGTTTTCTCTTCTCGAGATCCTAATGAGGCAAGATTTTCTCTGTCCTTATTCCCAGGAAACAAGTATGAAATCAAGGTATACACTGGTGACGTGATTGGTGCAGGGACAGATGCTGATGTCTTTATCAATATCTTTGGAGAGTATGGAGACACAGGTAATGCGTTTGAATCATTTCCTCACAAGCCATACCCAGAACTGCTTCCTAGAGCAGCTGTTTTTTAGAATCCCCACTGAGGACAGCAGCTTGGGCCCCTCCCCTTTTGGTCCTCTGCCAAGCTTCTGTCTTCTCTTCTTGTGCTGTGGTTTGCCATGGTTTGTCCTGAACAGTAGGTTGTCTATCTTGTGTGGTCAAATGTATAGATGTGCGATAGGTTTCCAAAGCTCTCTCTCTCTCTCTCTCTCTCTCTCTCTCTCTCTCTCTCTCTCTCTCTCTCTCTCTGTGTGTGTGTGTGTGTGTGTGATTTTTTCAGAATAAGTTATGCCTGTGTTTTTATTGATTCAAATCGAATAAACTCAAATTTCTCATTTCCAAGAATTTATTCTCACTTAATTTCTTTATTGCCATAAGCTCCATGCTTATGTGGATTGTAGTGGGGCATAGTCTAATGTAGTGAAGTGGGATGATGCAGAGTGGGACTAAAGGGTAGAGGAACATTGGCCTCCCAGGTAGAGCGGAAGCTGCCCACAGACACAGCGCAGGTGCTGGAGGAAGTTCAGGTCACGGGCTGGCGAGGGTGGTTTTTCTCTCACTTCTGCCAATTTAGTGGAATAGCACAGGAGTCAGAAAAGTTACAGAGATGTGTACATCTGGGGTGGACTACATCAAAGAATTCAACGTGGATGGCTGAACTTATAAGGAATGAAAAAGAACTCTTCAGATAACAGACATGGAGGAGAAACTCAAAAGCAAAGTGCTAGTTAGGAACCAAGACTGTGGCTCTGAGAAGGAGGGGGTTTTATGCTCATCTATCTAGAAGACAGGTTTCATGCTCCTTGGGGGTCAGAAAAAGAGACATGGGTCCTGAATGAGGCAAGAGATTTGAAATTAGGACCGCACATGAGGTCAGGAGCCCCCGAGTCATGGTGACAGCATCAGTGAAGGGCAGAGCAACGGCTCGTTGGCACCGTCACCGTGCCCCTGCCAGAACCCAAATTAAAAACAAAACAGCTGCAAACATACGCAGCCCAGGGACTTGAGGTCTGATCGTCTCGCTAGATGTGTGATTTCAGAACGCTTCTCCCCCCACATAGAATGTTTGGTTCAGTCTGGGTGTGGTGGCGCACACCTTTAAAGCCAGCACTTGGGAGGAAGAGGCAGGCTGGTCTCTCTGTAAGAGAGAGGCCAACTTACAGAGTTGATCTACATAGTGAGCTCCATGTCTGGTGGGGCTGTATAATGAGACCCTGTCTCAAAACAACAGCATGCAAACAACAAGAGCAAAATCAAATTAGAATTGCTTGGTTCATAGCAAGTAAATCTCCATTAGCACTTTGCGAAAACCCTTCTAAGACTGTGGGAGATGCCCACAGGGCGTTGGGGTGAATTTATTTTCCAAAACTATAAAACACTTAAGGACACAATCCAGCTCGATGAAGCTGCAAACCACACTACAATCGGAATGAAATCCCTAAGGGTTTCAGCTAACGGAGTGATGTGGGATAGGCTATAACTTACATTTTTTAAAGCTGTTAACAGCATGAAGGAAGGAATTGAAGAAGGTAGAGCACCATTAAAAACAACACATTAGGAAAAACAAACAAAACCATAGGACATGAAAGTATAGCTAGTGAAGATAAGCATCTCATGGGTGAGTTAATGCAATTAAAGGTGCTGAAGAGAGAATTAGTGAACTGTACGTATATGGGCAAAGCCCTCAGATGGCACGTAGGGAGAAAGGTTGGGAAGGGGACAGGAGAAGCCATGAGGCCAGGGGAGGGAGCGAGGTCTGACAGAGGTTGAGTAGGAGTTCTAGAAACAGAGGATGTGGGGCACAGGCGAGAGGAAATATTCGAAGAGCCAATGGCCCGAGGTTTCTTAAGATCCAACAGATTGGAATTGTCAGTTTAAAGTCATTGAATAGACTCTATGAAGAAACCAAAAGCAGAGAGAAAGATCTTAGAGGCAGTCGATTCGGCAGCTCACTTTCTACAATACCATGTAGACGGATGGAAAACTTCATCGTCAACAACAGAGATTATAAATCCACATAATCACACCTTCAATATTCTCAGCAAGCATGTATCTCAACCAGCAATTCCATACCAGATAAGCTATCATTCCAAGTGTGTGTGTGTGTATGTGGGGTGAGGAATTAACAACTGTTTATTGTAGCAAAGAGAAATGGGATTTATGTGTCCTCCACTCATGCTTAAACAGCCACTACTACGTACTCTTGGATGTGGAGGCTCATAACTGAAAATTCCAGCACTTGGGAGACTGAAGTAATAGAAACAGGTGTTTGAGGTTAGCCTGGGCTACATATTGAGTTCAAGACCAGCCTGGCTTTCATATGAAGGAAGACCTCTGTCTCTCTTTCACACACACAAAAGTGAACGAAACACTGAGAGCCATGTAACAAATCTAAGTGAGCAGCAACCATAAAACGTAACTGTGACTAACACAAGGGGCGTGAGGAATGTTAACCCCAAATATTTAATATCAATATTTGAGAAGAAAACTGGACAAAGCATTCTAAAGATTGTCTGTTATGCATTTCCCCATCCGTAGATGAGTTCAACTATGAACTGCAGACTTTATTAAGCTAAATGTGAATATTAAAAATGATAACAGCAAACACCCAAAGTAGAAAGTGAGCAGAATGAATAAAAGAGAATAAAGACACACTCAGTAGATCCAAGTGAAGCAACGAGGAAACCTGGCTGACAGCAAACGTAAACACATTGATTATCACATGAGTGGGGAAGTCTGTTAGTGAAGAACAGACTGTCTGGCCAGACACACATAATCCCAGCACTTTGAAGGTGGTCCAGGAGAACTGGAGTTTGAGGCCAACCTGAGCTACTAACATGACCCTCTTTCAAAAAAAGATATCCTCATATTATATCAAAATAAAGAAAAAAATACAGCTTAAACATACGAGAGGAGAAATTTGGGGATGAATCAGGCAACATGAAGTATTCCGGGAAAATCTCACCAACAGGAAGGAGGCTGGAATAACACTGTACGAATTCACCAATGTAAAGATGTAGGCAAACCACTTTGTTAGAAGAGAGGAGTTGGTCAGTGGAGGCACACGCCTTAATCCCAGCACTTGAGAGACAGAAGCAGGCAGATAGCTGTGAGACTGAGGCCAGCCTGTTTTACAGAGTGAGTTCCAGGAAAGCCAAGACAGTTACACAGAGAAATCCTGCCTCAAAATAAGAAAGAAGAAGAGGATGAGGAGGAAGAAAAGAAAGGCATGCTACTAACATCATCATCACCACCACCACCATAATCATCACCATCATCATCTGGGACAGAATACATTGCAGGATGCTAACAATGCTGATAGCAGATGTGGAAGCCTCTGAACTCTGCCCCATTTTAGGTTGTCTAGGAAGGATGTAGCCAGGTAAGATGGCAGACTTTGGAGAGGGGAACTAACCTAGGGCCTGAGCATCTTCAAGCTGCGTCATGGAGAAACATTTCTCTCTGTCCTGGAGTTGGAGTCTCACAAGGGTATGACCTGGAAGAATCTTGACACCAATCCCAATTTTCTGTGTTAACATTCATATCTGGTAAAGCACAAGGTTCTCCCTTGGCATGATAAGAAGCTGGGGTCCGTGCCCTGTTAATGTCACCATATGTCCTTAGCCTGGTCCTTCATCTCAGCATCCTACAAGGTTTGATTGTCTCAAGGACTTTCGGAAAGCCAGTTTTCATCACTAAGGCAATGAGAGCATCCATTAAAAATCACCCAGGACTCCAGACCCACAGATTGTTTATGTAAAAAAACTACCAAATATTCAAGAAATAGTTAATGTCAATCTATCATAAATTATTTTAAAGAAAAGAAAATGAGGTAATTCATCTAGCTCATTTTATGAATTTTGATAAAAATATCAGGCAGATAAAATTAAGAGAGAAGTAAACAGGTTATATTCATTTATGAAAAAACCCCAAATCCTAAAAAAAATTAGCACACTAAATTTGTAAATAAACATATGAATAAGTGATAACATTCTCTTTTACAAGTTTTATTCCAGTAAGTCAACAGTAATTTAACACTAGGCAGCCTATTCATTGATTTTATCATAGTAGCATATTAAAAAAAATAGAATTATCTTAGATATATTTGAGCTAATTATGATTTGTATTCATTACAATACTAGAAGGCCTAAGACCAGAAAAAAAGACAAGATTATGAAGTAAAAGCTAGGCTGGGTGGTGTGGTGTGCACCTTTAATTCCAGCACTTGGGAGACAGAGGCAGGTAGATCTGTGAGTCTGAGGCCAGCCTGGTCTGTCTCAAAAAACCAAAAAAAGGAAGGAAGGAAGGAAGGAAGGAAGGAAGGAAGGAAGGAAGGAAGGAAGGAAGGAAGGAAGACAGGAAAGCTATAATGATTGAAGATGAAAGAAGAGACCTGTTCTCCCCTCCCCTCCATTCTCTTTCTTTCCCCTCCCCTCACTTTCCCTCCCCATCCCTTCCTTCCCCATCCCTTCCCCTCCCCTCCCTTCCCTTTATCTCCCCTTTGTTCTTCCTTCCTTTGTCTCACTTTTCCTTTTCCCTCCACTCTCTTCCTCTCTTCCTCTTCCTCTCCCCCCCCCTCTCTGTCTTGTGATGTAACAGAGGTGCTTTCTGAATGCTGGGATTATAGGTATGTGCTACACCAAGCTATTAACAACCTTTCATTTTCATAAGCAACATCGCTCACCAAATCCAGGAAGATTTATATAGGTTAAAAATCATCAGAACCGCCGGGCGTTGGTGGCGCACGCCTTTAATCCCAGCACTCGGGAGGCAGAGCCAGGCGGATCTCTGTGAGTTCGAGGCCAGCCTGGGCTACCAAGTGAGCTCCAGGAAAGGCGCAAAGCTACGCAGAGAAACCCTGTCTCGAAAATCAAAAAAAATAAAAAAAAAAAAAATCATCAGAACCAACAGAAATTAAAGTTTACTAAAGATAGTGGATAAAAAATTAGCAAGAAAAATTACTAAAATGAACGACTTAAATATTTAGTGTAAAACATGCTATTTACATTAGAAATTAGTACATAAGAATGACTCTAGAGGGAGGGCTTCCTGGGAAACACAGGGTTTTGAAAGATATACAGGAATATACAAATAAATGAAGAGATGTGTCTGTGATGAGAAAAGACCCGCACTCACTAAGATGCCATGCTTCCTGGTTCTTTTTATAAGAGTAAAGGCAACACATGAAGCTTAGGCTACTATTAAAATGTAGAGCCATAAAAAGCTAAATATTGCCAAGATAGCTTTGAAAAACTGGAAACTGTATGAACAGCATCAGTGGGCTGACTCAGCAGGTAACAGTGCTTGCCGCCAAATTGGACAACCTGAGTTCTATTCCTGGGAGCCCCACGGTAGAGAAAGAGAGCTGACTCCTGCAAGTTGTCCTCTGACCTATACAATGGCACACACATACGGACCATAGTGTGGTTGCTTCCTCCACATACAAAATAAATAGACGTGACTTGTGAAAATAGGAAACGGTATGAACAACAATAATAAGGTGAGATATTTACCCTGCCAGAAGTTAAGACAGTGTAGATATTTTTAAATTTTAAGCTACAGTTATTCAGTTTGTCTAATGTGTGTGTGTGTGAGAGAGAGAGAAAAACACATGTGGCACATGTGTGGAGGTGGGAAGACAATTTCTGTGAGTTAGCTCTGTCTTTCCATCATGTGGGTCCCAGAAATCTAACCCAGGTTGTCTAGCTTAGTAGCAAATGGCCTTATGAACTGAGCCATCTCACCAGCCCAATCATAGATCTTTAAAAACTAAAACAGGCCAGGCAGTGGTGGTGCATGCCTTTAATCCCAGCACTCAGGATCCAGAGGCAGGAGGATCTCTGTGAGTTCGAGGCCAGCATGGTCTACAAAGCGAGTTCCAGGACAGGCACCAAAACTACACAGAGAAAACTTGTCTCAAAAAACCAAACCAACCAAACAAACAAAAAACCAAAAACCAAAACCAAAAACAAAACATTTGTGTGAAGAAGGACAAATAAAATTGTCCAATGGAGCAGAATAAAGAGCCTAGAAATACATAGAAAGATAGCATTATAAATTATAAATCTGAGGGCAAAGATAAGATGTTTAATTACTGGTGTTTGAACAATTGTTTAGCCATCTGAGAAAAGATGAAATTAGATTCTTATCTTTCCCAAAGCACAAAAATAACTTCCAGATGGGCTAAAGACTTAAATGTGAAAAAAAATCAGAATTTTTGAAAGAAATTCTAAGATATTAATTTTTAATTTTAATCTTAATTTAAGGATGCAATTTAATAGGCAATTTACCAAATGTACACACACGCACACACACACACATTTACACATGTACTCACATACTCATACACATGCATGTGCATGGACACACATCAAAGAAAATAACAAACAGTCTTAAGAAAAATTTTTCAGCACAGGGTCTCTCTATGTAACAGCCCTGGCTGTCCTGGAACTCCCTCTGTAGACCAGGCTAACCTTGAACTCACAGAGATCTTCCTGCCTCTGCCTCCTGAGTGCTGGGATTAAAGGCATACACCATCATCGCCTGGCACTTTTTTTTTTTTTTAGTCTAAGAAATTTTTTAAAAATGGAACAAAAGATATGAGAAAAATGACTGAGCCACATTGCCTAAATGACACAAAATATATATATATATATGCATATATGTCATATGGTCAAGCTCTCAAAAGAGTACGGAAATATAAATTAAGACTATAATGAGATAGCATTCTACACGGAATAAAAATTTTAAAGCACAGATGTTAGTAGTGATCACGGGCAGTGGAAATTAGTGCCTTGTAAGCATTTTGGAGAGCTGTGTTGCCTGATAAACAAAGGTGAGCGTACACCAGGTCAACAACTGTCCCTGTGTATGTGTGTGCAGCACAGTTTTTACCAGGGTGCAGAGGAAGGGCACAAAGCTGTCCATTTCAGTGACATTTGCAATAGTTAAGTCAGGAACAACTCAATTGCATGCCCGGAGAAGAAAGCAGGGCAGCTCTTTTGTCACTTGGCTCGATAGGACGGTTAATGAACAAACTGTCTCCAGCATCCACAGGGCGCTCTCAACAGCCTGCTGGTAACTGAGAGAATGAGATTCCACAAAGACGGCAGCAACCCTAGCCACAGTGGTCTGGCCATAGTGCCTGCTGTGCTTCCGGGCTGCCCGATGTGTGAGAACGCAGATCTCACTCACAGACACCCTGTGACACAGTCACTACCGTTAGCCTCACTGTGAAGATGAAGGACTTGAGGACAGATGTGCTCTATGCCATCATTTATGTACAAATCAGAAGTGGCCACAAGTGGCCTGTGTCTCTTAGAGATGCTAATGTATACATGCTAATGATTCTGGGATGGTGTACACCAAGATGAGGGGCGAGTAGGAGAGAGAGATGAACAGGGAAGCCTTGCACATGCCGACTGGGTTTGCTGCTTAAAAAAAAAAGTGAAAGGTCTGGGAGCTGGAGAGATGGCTCAGGGCTTTAGAGTACTTGCTGCTCTTGCAGAGGACCTGAATTCTGTTCCCAGCATCCACATGGCTACTTACAACCCTCTGTGACTCCAGTTCCATGGGCTCTAGCACCCTCCGGGGCTTCCTTGGGCACCAGCCATACACATAGTGAACTTACATACATGCACTCATGCACATAAAATAAAAACAAATAAGTCTTTTGGAAAGAAAGAGAGAGAGAAAAGAAGGAAGGAAGAAAGAAATATCTGCAGCAAACTAGACAAAATGTTAGCAATTGCTACACCTCTCACATCTGGGTGGTGAGTACCTGAATACTGGTGATTATTTTCTATATTTCCTGATGCCAAATGTAAATTTAGAAAAGAGAGACCATGGAAAGATTTAAGCAGAAAGTTGGCACTTTGATGGGTTGAGAAAGCCTAACATGTGCACTCATGGTCACGGGGATGTGACCACAGAGAATGGCAAAGCAGAGAAACAGGTTAGAATGGACCCGAAGCTTTGTGTTCGTTGCCCACATGACTTTGGACAAGTTATCCAATTGCTAAGTCTCTGTTTCTTCATTTGCAAGACCAAGATAATAGTGCATCCTTGTTGGGTTATAGCCAGGAGTGTGAAATAAAGATCCGTGTGTGTCAGACACCAACAGTGTCTGCTGAGAGTTGCTGGCATTGTGTCCAGGACAGGGGGAGCAAATGGGGCCAGGCTCCCAGCAGCTGCAGCCCCAATGCCAAGTCCCATGTCCACTGCTCTAGTTTAGGACAAGCAATGGACAGAAACAAGATGGGACCTCAAGTCTTAGGGTAGGGGTACAACTTGGACCATAGGGGCAAAGACCTCAGAATAAGGTTGAAATGAAAAACCCAGTTATGAGACCCAGGCACCAGCCACACAGGAGGCAAATGGGCTTTGCCAGAGGCTAGAAGGATGTAAGGAACTGTTAGATCCCAACAGGGAGCCGCCCTTGACTTTGTAAGAGCTCTTTCAGGGGGTGGACCATTAAGGCCTCCAGTTCTTCTTTCTTCTCTTCTGTTTTTTTTTTTTTTTTAACTTTCTTGCTTCTGTGCATTCAGGAGAGCGTAGGCTGGAAAACGAAAAGGACAACTTTGAAAAGGGAGCCGAAGACAAGTTCACACTGGATGCCCCGGATTTGGGGCAGCTGATGAAGATCAATGTGGGCCACAACAACAAGGGGGGGTCTGCAGGTTGGTTCCTGTCCAAGGTAGGTTCAGCGGCTTGTCTGCAGTCTCTGAGGCGGGAGGGGGACGTCTGGCTCTTCAGAGGCCTGACACTGAGCCTAACTTTCCACTCTGGATTTGCCTGCCTCTACTCTGGTGTTAAAGTCCACTGGCCATCCATGCTGCCCCCTTAGAGGCCAACAAGACTGACCTTGTTAAAACTTCTAGAATCCAGTTCTCTCATCTAATCCAGCCAAGGCCTAACTCTCCTTCAAGGTTCAACTTGGAGCTCCTAACCTAATTGCTCTACGTGTGTGGTTCCCCTCACCTGCACAGAACAGAACCCTGCTCATCAGGCTGTAACAGTGATGGAAGTTACTCCAGCACTGAGCGTGGAGGATATTTAGTCATAGCCGACACTCTGGACTGGCCTAAACATATTGACTTCAAGGCTACTCCATTATTTTACTCAGGTGTCCTGAGTCTGCGTGGGAGAAAGTGAGGGCTGTGTAGACAAGGGTCAGGGAGGAAGTGAGGGCTGTGTAGACCAGGGTCAGGGAGGAAGTGAGGGCTGTGTAGACCAGGGTCAGGGAGGAAGTGAGGGCTGTGTAGCCCAGGGTCAGGGAGGAAGTGAGGACAGTGTAGCCCAGGGTCAGGGAGGAAGTGAGGACAGTGTAGCCCAGGGTCATTTGATGCATCTCTGGCCCATCTAGAAAGAATAAACAAGAAATTGCCCTGTTTGGCAGCTTCAGCCTTTCCTCTCTACGTTGGGGGTGTCTTACCCTTTTAGCCTTCACAGTGGTGTTGTAAAATGGCTCTCGGTGGCCTTGGTGGGTTTGAGCCAAGGTGAAAAGACAGCCGCGCCATGTGGGCGGTGGCCAAGGGGGCACGGTGGAAAGATACTCACACCATGCAGGCAGGGTACCCACGTGGAAAGTTTTATTAAAGGAGGAGGCGTGAGGGGATAGAGGGAAAGAGGGGGGGGAGAGAGAGGAAGGAAAGTGGAGTGCATGTAGCCTTGTGAAGGGAGAGAGGAAGAGAGGAAGAAGAAGAGAGAGAGCAAGATGGAGGAGGGGTTTTCTCTTAAAGGGGACCTTACATATAAGATGACATCAGGATGTTGGGCGGATCCCCAAGGGGCAGGGTGGATCCCCAAAGGGCAGGACAGAATGCTAACAATTGGGAAGTCTTGCCTTGTGGTCTGGTGTGTCTCTGCAGCCACAGAATATAGTTGGGTCCACCGTGAACAGACCCACTCACTGTGAACAGGGCCCTTCACCCTGAACAGCTCCCTTTTCTGGACTTAGTCTCACCTATAAGGACTCATCACTCCAGCTCCCTCTTGCCTCTCTGAAGATCTGCTTTTCTTAAGGGTTTGTTGGCAGGTGGAAAATATTCCTTCCAGATAATGGCTCTTGATTTTCAACACACACACACACACACACACACACACACACACACACACACACACACACACACACCAAACAAATCAAACCCTATATGCTTTCATTGTTCATCATAGAGTACGTCTGTCTTTCTGGTCTTGTATTGTAGCTGGGTCCAAAAGGCACATTTTGGGAGGTACTTTCAGCTCTTCAGTATGTTCTAGAAGTCATAACATCACCAACCTAGCTTCTGGTTTATTTGCTGGAGAGGCTTCATTTATGGCCACCTACATTTGCCTAACTGGCAGTGACTGATGTTTTATGATGTGACCACCAGGTCCCAGGATTCCTTGTGCCTGGTTTCAGTCCACAGTTTCCCCTTGCACAGACTCTGCTTCTCACCAGTAAGGTCAGAAGTCTGACCTTCAGCAGGGGAGAAACAGTCATCTCATATGCCAGTCTTCAAATCCCCACCCCGTTCTTTCATCCCAAGCATCACCGAGCATACCCCGAGACACATCTTGCTTCAGTTTTCTAAAATGCCTCCAAGCAGTGGAGGATTAGTGGCTGGGATTCAAGGAGGGGTGACTGCCAATCATCCCTGGATGGCTGTATGAGGATTTCCTAGTAGCTGTGTTCTGTGACCAGCTCTCCTTGAAGTGTGAGGAGACTCAAGTGCATTCTCAGCATATACTCCAGGGACTGGATGGGGTGGTAGATTACTGGGTGTGCCCTCAGTGACACGTAAGCACATTCTTTCCTCTTTTCTCCTTCTCAGATTATCATTGAAGATATTGGGAACAAAAGGAAATATGATTTCCCCCTTAACCGCTGGCTGGCACTGGATGAAGACGATGGCAAAATCCAAAGAGACATCCTAGTGGGCGGAGCTGAGACCACAGGCAGGCTGGAGAGCGGTGGGGCCCCAGTGGGATCATCCTTTCCTCTGAGGAGTCAGTGACCATGTCTGTGGGCTTATGACTGTGGCCAGGTGGGAGCCAGCTGGGTTTGAGGACGGCATCTTTGCTGCCCCCGAAAATGGTCTGGTTCTCTGGGTTGCCGCCGAGGCTGTGGATATCGGAGGATACAGGGTGATGACCCTAGGCATTACTAGCTATGGGTAGAGGGAACTAAAAGAGGAAGCCAGAAGGGGAATTCATGACCCTCTTACATTTTATATAATCCTTACAGCCACCTACAGCATAGGCATTGTCTTCTTCCCAACTCACAGATGAGAAAACAGAGACATATAGAAGTTAACAAAGCTGTCCAGGGTCACATAGCTTGGTGAAGACAGACTGGGTATTTGGTCTGCCTCCTGAAGTCCCCTTACCACAAGTTCCACAGGAAACCTCTACCCCTCAGCCTGCCTGAGATGGTCACTGGGGTTCTAGAAAACTTGCGCGTGCTTTACACATCTGAGAATTTGCTCGTCTGCCAAAGTCCACCTCTCCCTTTGACTGGAGACACGGCCAGAGTTGTGTAGTGTAACAGGTAGATGGCAACACAGATTGGCTCCAGGTGGCCCGTCAGGAGAGTCTTCAGCATTCTTCTCCCACCACTTTGTAGCCCTTGCATCGCCCCCGCCGCACCTGCCCATGAGCACCTGACCCCACCGCACCTGCCCATGAGCACCTGCCCCTGCAGCACCTGCCCATGAGCACCTGCCCCCACCGCACCTGCCCATGAGCACCTACCCCTGCAGCACCTGCCCATGAGCACCTGCCCATGAGCACCTGCCCCTGCCGCACCTGTCCCTGCAGCACCTGCCCCTGCAGCACCTGCCCCTGCCTCACCTGCCCCTGCAGCACCTGCCCATGAGCACCTGCCCCTGCCGCACCTGTCCCTGCAGCACCTGCCCATGAGCACCTGCCCCTGCAGCACCTGCCCCTGCAGCACCTGCCCATGAGCACCTGCCCCTGCCGCACCTGCCCCTGCAGCACCTGCCCATGAGCACCTGCCCCTGCCGCACCTGCCCCTGCAGCACCTGCCCCTGCCGCACCTGCCCATGAGCACCTGCCCCTGCAGCACCTGCCCATGAGCACCTGCCCATGAGCACCTGCCCCTGCAGCACCTGCCCATGAGCACCTGCCCCTGCTGCCCCTGCCCCTGCAGCACCTGCCCCCGCTGCACCTGCCCATGAGCACCTGCCCCTGCAGCACCTGCCCATTAGCACCTGCCCATGAGCACCTGCCCCTGCAGCACCTGCCCATGAGCACCTGCCCCTGCAGCACCTGCCCATGAGCACCTGCCCCTGCAGCACCTGCCCCCGCCGCACCTGCCCATGAGCACCTGCCCATTAGCACCTGCCCATGAGCACCTGCCCCTGCAGCACCTGCCCATGAGCACCTGCCCCTGCAGCACCTGCCCCTGCCGCACCTGCCCCTGCAGTACCTGCCCCTGCCGCACCTGCCCATGAGCACCTCCCATACCTAACTTCCCCCTAACACCCATACCTTCTGCTCTTCCAGACATCTTCCCCTGCCTGTCTGCCCCCTCCTCTCCTCTCCCTGCCATGTCTGCTCTTTTCTTTGTTCTTAAACCCTGGGACAGAACAAAAGAATGCCAGTAAGCCCTTCACGGAACTTCTGGTTCAAATGCTGCTGCTCTCTCTATTTTTCTTTGTGCCCTATTTAGTTTACTTAGCCCTTGGTGATTCTTCTGCATAATTCCAAGGGCTCACAAGGCCTTCTGACTGATCAAAACCCAGGATGACCCAACTTATAGTGACCCTCACTCTTCCTCAGCCCAGGTGGGAAGGGAGATGTCAGTGCCCTCTCTCAAAAGTTGTATTTTCCAGCAAAACAGCAAGCTAAATGAACTAGATAGGTCAGATATAAATCTCCATCAATGGACTTGACTGTTATAATTAGATTAGACATAACAAAATTTATCTAGCAGCTATTAATAATATACACATGGTAATTAACATTAATAATACGTACTATTCTTAGAAGCTCAACTTCCTCCTTCTCTTTGTTTCTCATAATCAGTGCTGACAGTTTCCTGAAATAACAGAGGCAGTTCATCCCCCAAACTCACATATACTAACACACAATGTTGAAACACAAAATGAGGTTGTAAGGGGCACTGGATGTGGTCTGAGTGAGTAAAACATGAGGGGACACATGGGTGTGTGTGGTAGAGTAAAGCCATAGACAAGACAGAAATGGGGATATTCTGATGCAGTCCACTTTGAACCCTCTCTGCCTCTCTTTCCACGCCAGCCATAACGTATGTTGTCACTGTCTTCACTGGGGATATCCGTGGAGCTGGAACCAAATCTAAGATCTACTTGGTCATGTATGGAGCCAGAGGGAATAAGAACAGTGGGAAAATCTTCCTGGAGGGTGGCGTGTTTGACAGGGGCCGCACAGACATCTTCCACATCGACCTGGCTGTCCTCCTCAGCCCCCTGAGCCGGGTCTCCATTGGGCATGGCAATGTAGGCGTCAACCGAGGCTGGTACTGTGAGAAGGTAAGGTGCCGATGTGTGAGCATTCTCGGGTTCAACTGCTTCTTCAGCCTCTATATACAAACTCTACCCTACCCTGCGTCCCTGTGACAGCTGCTCTCAGTTGTCAACTACATCTGGAATTAACTAAAAGCCCGAGCTGCCGGGCACACCCGTGAGGGATGTTTTAGTTAATTAGATCATTTGAGGTAGGAAGGCCCATCCTAAATCTGGGCCACACCTTCTGGTGGCAGCCCTTACAAAGGACAAGGAAGAAGGAAGCTCTTTTCTTTTTGCCTGCCTGCCCTCACTCTCACCGGCAAATCCATTCCTTTGCTGGTGTGAGAGCCGGCTTCTTTGGGATTCCAGTGTATACTGAAGAGCAGCTGGTACACCCAGCCTTGTGGACTGAGAAACTACTTCCTATTGGTAGACAGCCATTGTTGGGCTGCCTGGGCCACAGCCTGTATGCCACTCTAATAAATCCCATTTATATGTGTATATATACATGTGTGTATGCGTACATACACACATATACATATATAATCATTCCATCAGTTCCCTTTCTCTAGACGACTCTGACCACAACAGTCTTATTTCCTACTTCTCTTAGACCAATCGGTTGTAGAGTATATGGTACTCCCTTGTACATGATCGATCATGTCCATCTCTTTTGTCTTGTTGGTAGGGACTTATGGGAGTGGGGGCTGTCTCCAAACACAGCAGTGGTTACCATAGATGCATACCTGCCAGTTACAGATGACATGTGGTGGTGTTTCCCCTTGGCTTATGAAACAATCAACAACAATTTTTAAATGTATCTATGGGACCCGTACATTGCCTTGAGTCCGGCCTGGCCTGACAGGGAGTCCCCATGCAATCTGGATTGTAGAATAGGGCCCTGTCTCAGGAAGAAAGAGGAGGAGAGAAGGAAAATGGAAATTTAGTTAATCAGCCTTTCCCTCGTGTTTAATGCTTCCTGTATTGTTGGGGAAGTCTATTTATCTTAAAGCTATGAAAATAAAGGGATGGGAGCTGGAGAGATGGCTCAGCAGTTAAGAGCACTGGCTGTTCTTCCAGAGGGCCTGAGTTCAGCTCCCAGCACCCACATGGCAGCTCACAATCATCTGCAACTCCAGTTCCAGGGGATCTGACACCCTCTTCTGGTCTTCACGGTGCCCAGATATAGTACACAGACATACATGCAGACCAATACTCATATATATTAAAGAAATAATAAAAATTGTTTAAAGCTATGGAAATACACTTCTACATTTCCTTCTGAATATGGTAAAGTTTTGGCTTTCCTATCCATGTTTAATCTGCTCGTAATTATTTTTGTGAGGTATATTTTTTCCAGATATATATTAAAATATTTTAGTTATATGTATTAAAGGATTTACAAACTACAGTAAAGTCCCAGGGCTAGAGAGATGGCTCAGCAGTTAAGAGCACTCACTGCTCTTGCAGTAGGCCTAGGTTTGGTTCCCTACTGGTGACTTAAAACTGTTTGTAACTTCAGTTCCAGGGATTCTGATGCCCTCGTCTGGCCTCCACAGGTACTGCGCACATATAGTGCACATAAATACATGCAAGCAAAACACTGGCACATAAATAAGCACATTTTAGGAATAATATACCTGAAGTTCAACCCAGACCTACTGAGTCAGATTTTCCAAGGTTCTGGATATTTAACAAGTTTTATACATTTAGGTGGGAGAATACAGGGGGCTAAATCCAGGGCCTCATGCAAGCTATGCAGTGCTCTGCCACTGAGCTATAATCTCGGTCCTTATCTTCCTCCCTCTCCCTCCTCCACTCCATCTCTCCATCTCTCTGTTTTTGTCTCCCTCTCTCTTTCTTTGTCTCTTTTATAAGTTTTGAGACAGAGTCTCTCTGTCTTCCAGGTTGGCCTTGCACTCACTCTACAGCCCAGGCAAACTCTCCAGTAACTGAGACCACAGGCCAGTACTCTCAGGACTTAACTTGATAACTCTTGTCATTAAGAAGGTTTGAGAAGCAATGACTTAGTTTCAGTGGGAATTGAAGCTTTGGGTTTTTTCCCCCATTGAAAGTAAAATCAGTACTCCCACAAACAAACAGACAAACAAACAAAGTAGATAAAAACCCAGCTCCCTTGTGCTTTCTGCTCTGTCCCATGTATTGATTTAGTCTATTTCTGCACCAATACAGCATTCACTGCCTTCAGTTTACATAGTTGTGCTATTTCTTCTGAGACAAATTAAACCCAGCTTACTCCTATTTCTCAGGGGTAGATTGACATCTGTCTTCATTTATTGCCCCTTAAGAGTTTTAGAATCTGCTCACCAAGTTGATGAAGTGTCAACTGGATCTACAGAGTCCCTTGGAAAACTAATATATTTTTTAATATACCAACTCCCCTTATCTATGAGCATGGTACACTTCTTAAAATTTAGATCTTTAAACTGTTTTTTCTGTGTAGTTTTATTTTTTCCTTCTTCAAGAGAGTGTATGGCTGTATTGGATATAATCATATAGATCTTACAATTTGTGTCATAAATGATCTTCAAACTTATCTTTTCTAACTATGTGTTGCTGATTAAGTACTTTCCATGTACTGAGCTTACATGTAACCATCTTTTAAAGGTTGCATTGATTTTAATCACTTCTCCACATATTCTTTGAATGTCTTCTCTGTCAGCAAGTCTTCCAGAGCTTGGTTGGTCTTCAGGTTCCTCACCCACAGAGAAACTTACTATTTCTTTTTAAATTTTGAGCACATGGCCTCAGATCTATAGTAGAATGCTGAACAGAAGGTTACATAGTGTATATCTCTGTTTTGTTTCTAATTGTGTGTGAGATTGTGGGCAGGCATCAAGCCTAGGGCATCATGCACACTAAGCTCTACCACTGAACTGCACTTCCCAGTCTTCGTTTTTTTCTGTAAAAGCAACTGTTCTAATGTTTTATTTTGTTAATTATGTTTGAAGGGTTTGGTATGTGTTATTAAACTGATTAAATGCATTCTTGTAGCTACAGTTTTCCTGCCTGGCCCACAGTCAGGACAAATCTCTCTCACCCGCCAGTCCCTCAGCCGCTCAGACCCAACCAAGTAAACACAGAGACTTATAGTACTTACAAACTGTATGGCCATGGCAGGCTTCTTGCTAACTGTTCTTATAGCTTAAATTAATCCATTTCTATAAATCTATGCTTTGCCACGTGGCTCGTGGCTTACCGGGCATCTTCACATGTGGCTTGTCCTGGTGGCGGCTGGCAGTGACTCGTTCTGCCTTCCTGTTCTTTTATTTCTCCTCTCTGTTAGTCCTGCCTATACATCTGCAACCAGGACAAGCCGCATGTGAAGATGCCCGGTAAGCCACGAGCCACGTGGCAAAGCATAGATTTATAGAAATGGATTAATTTAAGCTATAAGAACAGTTAGCAAGAAGCCTGCCACGGCCATACAGTTTGTAAAGCAAAATAAGTCTCCGAGTTTACTTGCTTGGGTCTGAGCGGCTGTGGGACTGGCGGGTGACAGATTTGTCCTGACTGTGGGCAAGGCAGAAAAACTCTAGCTACACATTCTTTTCTGTTTCTTCAATGTTGAGTTGTTTTCTGAGCATGTGTTGAATTCTGTTTAATGCTGTTTTCTGTTTGTAGTGAGTTAGTCCTGTGATCTTCCTGTTCCATTAAGTTGATACATTGTGCCCTGGATGACTGCACTCTCTAATGCTCAGCCAACACTGCACTCCTTCTTCAGGCTGAACTTAGTGGTGGTGGATTGGATTTTACATGTTCTTATCACTGACTTGCCATGATAAGAATATGAAAATATGAAAATCTTAATATGAAAATCTTCTATGCAAGTGACACTGACCCCTTAGTTTCCTTCATTATCACTGTTTTTAATACTAGAAATAGTATTTTATTAAAAATCATATTTTAAAAACATACTTTAATATGATTTTACTCATAAAATACACTCTATATGATGTGCTCTTAAAAAGAGGTGGAGAACATTCACAACATGCATTGTACAAACAAATGAATTTAAGAGTTTGGTTTTGTTTATTTGATTGTATTAGTTACCTTCGATATTTGAATCTTCTATATCTTTGGTGATATTCCTTTCCTTCCTTCCTTCCTTCCTTCCTTCCTTCCTTCCTTCCTTCCTTCCTTCCTTCCTTTCTTTCTTTCTTTCTTTCTCTCTTTCTTTCCCTCTCTTTCTTTCTTTCTTTCTTTCTTTCTTTCTTTCTTTCTTTCTTTCTTTCTTTCTCTCTTTCTTTCCCTCTCTTGCTTTCTCTTTCTTTCTTTCTTTCTTTCTTTCTTTCTTTCTTTCTTTCTTTCTTTCTTTCTTTCTTTCTTTCTTTCTTTCTTTCTTTTTTTTATCTATCAATTGCTAGAAAAGTCTTCTGAAATTTCCCACTTCTGTAGCAGATACTTCAGTTTCTTTTCCTAGAATTAACCATCTTTGCTGGGCATGGTTTGAGGCCATGTTATTAGACAGACAACCCATCCTAGTGAACTGAATCCTTACCATTGTCTAACATAAGGAAGTTAAGGAAGGTACAGTCAACTGCAATCACTTTAAACAACTGACAATAGGATCCACTAAAATGATGATATGTGGATGCTCAAGCAGTGACTTCTTAGCCTAGAGAAGATTCTGCAGTGTCCAGAACGTTCCTTTGGACAGCCGCATTGTGAGTGGCCAAAGAGGGCAGGGCTCCGTGTTCTAAACCCATACACTCTGAGTGTGGATGGTAAAGGCTAGAGGTCAGGATTTAAAGGGGAAAAGTCCAGGGGAAGGCATTTGGCTCCATATTGCATTCTAGATATGAACTGGTTAGCTTTTATATGCTTCACCTTTTTTTCTACAAAAATTCATTGGGTGGTCAAGGCCATTTGGTTCACATTCACGGATTTTTATGGTGCACGTGAAGAAATGTGGTGTCCAAAGAGGACACAATATATAAAAGAAAAAGATTTGGGATCTAAGCTGGTGAGTTGGAGGATGTATGACAGCTACTGCAAAAGACTTTTCTTTAAAACAGTAATTTTTAAAAAGTATTCTTCATCTGCAAAATACGTTTCGAAAGAGGTATCTTTTTAATTAAGACTTGGCGAGAAAGGTAACAGGAAAAGTGCCATTCTTTGAAGGTCCCAGCACAGATACCTGTGCACTTGGTGCTGTGGAGGCCACTAAGCACTGTGAGCGGGTCCTGTCAGTGGACCTAAAACAGGGGACTCCTGCCGTCTACCTTGCCAGGTGGTGGTCCTGTGCCCCTTCACGGGCATCCAGCAGACGTTCCCCTGCAGCAACTGGCTGGATGAGAAGAAAGCAGATGGGCTGATCGAGCGGCAGCTCTATGAGATGGTGTCTCTGAGGAAGAAGCGGCTGAAAAGTAAGTGTGAGGGGCCCACAAGTGGGTACAGGCCATGCACTGTTGCGGAGATGACTCCAGTGTCCCCAAACTGAAGGAGCTGCTGTAATGGACACAGGGTTAAACTGGGTGATTCACTACAGTGAACTCTGAATATACTAGTCATAGGATGGCGGACTCAGTTCTTCCCCACTGCTAAAATGTAGTAAGTCTTTAGCCATTAATGAGACACTTACCTTATTACCTGTAATAGCAAGGGACTCAGCTTTATATTCGGCACTTATGTAGTGGGTTCTAAGAATGGACACAATTGTGTATAAACTCCAGTCCTAATCATTTGATTTTTTTTCCCCTCCTTCTCCTCCCCAACACTTGGAGTTTCACCCTGATTCACCCTGGCCTGTGTTGTAGAATTTCCTTGGTCCCTTTGGGTCTGGACAACTGATCTGAAGAAAGCTGGTACCAACTCACCCATCTTCATCCAGATTTATGGGCAGAAGGGGCGAACAGATGAGATTCTCCTGAATCCCAACAACAAATGGTTCAAACCAGGCATCATCGAGAAGTTTAGGGTAGGAAGGGGCTGGCATGGGAGGGGAGGGAGATGGGAAAAAGAGATGAGAGAGGTACAGGACATGAAGATTCCAGTTTTCCATACCAAAGTTTAAAGACAAAAAGGCACATTGGAGACTTTGGGTTCCTACAGCAGTGACAAATTTGGTGATTTATATGCAATTTATTGAAAATGATACAATTTATATCTGGCCTTCTATCTGAAATAGTCTAGGATGAAGCCTGGCCGGGGTGGGGGTGGGGGAGGGGAGGCAGAGCGAAGGATAGACTGCTTGGAGCATTCAGGAGTAGGGTGAGTGGGGTAATCGTGGGCTCAGGGGCACACGTTAGATTGCTCAGCCTGGCTGCATTCAGCATAAGGCCCGACTTTTAAGGGGAAACATGAATTTTGGAGCATTTGAAAGAAAATCCAGCTTTGAACTTTGCAGTATGTACACAGAGCAAGTCTTTGCCCTCACAAGTGCTGCTTCGACCTTTGGGGAGAAGAATCTGTAATTGGCTGCTGTCCTCTCTGGGCACCCACTGATACCTCTATTCTAGCACCAAATTCATCGGTCTTTATGTATTTGTCTTCTCTGCCAGACTCGGGCCCCCGGGAGAAGGGCACGGCTGCTGTATTGATCTTTTTGTCTGTCTCGGTGCCCAGCAGACTCCTGGGGCTGTGGCCCTGCGCTCATTTGCAGGGCTGCCATATGAATCTCGTTCCTGGAAGCTCTCTTGGCTGAATCCCACTGTGGGTCAGCTATTTTTGTTCGGTTTTCACCAGCCCAGACTGAACCTGAGCTTCACATAGCCATCTTGGTCCCATGAGCCCCTGGTTACCAGGAACGGGAGAGAATGGAATGTTTGGGTGTGGCTTGAAAGCAAACCCATCCTCACTGGGAAAAAAGCAGCCCAAAGGAGCACCCACCTGCCTGCGGTCAGTTACGAGGACAGATGTATTTCCATGAGTGTCCACACAGGACTTTTAATTTTTCCTTGTAGATGGAGCTCCCAGATCTCGGCAGGTTTTATAAGATTCGGGCGTGGCATGATAGGCAGAACCCTGGCTCTGGATGGCATTTAGAAAAGGTAATACCTTGGAGGGTCGGGAGGAGCCAGAGCCATACTTCTTCATATTCATGTCATATATATTTGCCTCTGTATTTGTTAGAATTAGAGGTGGGAAGAGTAGGCATGGGCTGTGTGTTGGGGACAGGTAGGGAGAGGTCTTCCAAAGTAAACAGAGAGACTGCTCAGGTGTCCATGGGTTTGCATTCTGTCCTGTTATCCAGAAGTTAGTTGAGTATAGACTTCTAAGAGGCCAGGGAAAGAAAGAGGAGGCTGATCATCTGCCTTCCCCAAGAGTCACAATAAAGACTGTTTTAGCTTTCCCTAAGATGAGCTAGTAGAGAGGGCTTGGTGGCACATACCTTTAATCCCAGCACTTGGAGGCAGAGGCAAGCTAATCTGTGAGATTGAGGCCAACTTGATCTACAAAGAGAGCCCCAGGATTACACAGAGAAACCCTGTCTTAAAAAAATTAAACTAAACTAAACTAATAAAAAAATAAAAATGAGAAAATACAAAACTTAAAAAAAATAAGACAATAGGATGAGGATTCCGGGTCATGGGTGGGAATCTCTGGTGGAGCCACCTGCCTACCTCAAGACTCCCTCATTGTAGATGACCCTGATGAACACTCTGAATAAGGACAAGTATAACTTCAACTGTAATCGCTGGCTGGATGCCAATGAGGATGACAATGAGATTGTGAGGGAGATGACTGCAGAAGGCCCAACAGTGCGGAGGATCATGGGAAGTAAGTATGGAGCTGCTTGCTGTCCTGGGGAGATGGCAGGGCTTTACTTGGTGGGCTAGTGGGGGCCTGGAGGTCTTGTCTACTGTGCATCGTCCACCCTCTCAGAACACTGCAGTGGACTAATTAGGTTCCAACCTCAAGACTGGCTGGAAGCATCCATTCCAGGACATGGTGCTAGGAACTGTCTCTGATGAGTATGATATGGGGTAAAGGAGATTACCATAAGAGGACAAGGGGAGTCGGCACTAAACAACAGCTACCCAGAGCCTCCTTAAAATTAAAGGGAATAACTTCTTCAAATTGTGAAATTTGGTGAATTCTCTCCACACAGTAAGGCTGGATCTGGGTTTTTATGACACAATAACCACAGAAAACTTATGTCCAAAAGACCTAGTAATAGCCCAAAGTAGAACCGGGGAAGCTCCTGCCATGTTTAGACAGTTGGTAATAGGCAGTCAGACCTAGGACAGGTCTTTCACTTATTGGTTCAATGACTGTTAATCCTGAGATGCTACCTCTACTTTTGTATATTTAATAATACTTGTTTTGAAAACAAAACTATCATCTCTCTTTACATAAGATAACATCAAATGGTTTCCATCCAATGGAGGCTTTGTAGAATACATAGCTCATCAAGGCAGAAATGCATCTGGTCTTACCTGACCTGTGTGTTTATGCCCGCATTGTGCCTGCAGGTCTCAGGGAGAGGGTCCTGGGACCTAGTCACTCTCTGAGTCCTTCTAATCAGCTCTTACAATTTTAGCTCCTTGGTCTCCTCTCCTGAACTTATCCAGCACTTTCATCCTTGAGCATTTGAGGGGAGAGGTTGCTTTTTGAAGCTTCTCAACTCACAGCTCTGAGCAGCTTTCTCAGGGTGCCTTATCTCACGGAGGACTTGTTGAACTACACATTGCTGGGCTCTGGGATAGAAATTCCAATTCAGTGGGTCTGCATTAGGACTCCAGAACATGTTTGTCTTAGTGAGGGTTTCAATTGCTGTGAAGAGACACCATGACCACAGCAACTTTTATAAAGAAAACATTTAATTGGGATGGCTGACTTACAGTTTCAGAGGTTCGGTCCATTATCATCATGACGGGGAGCATGGCAGCATGCAGGCAGACATGGTACTGGAGCTGAGAGTGCTTCATCTTGCAGGCAACAGGAAGTCAACTGACTGTCACACTGAGGGAAACTTGAGTAAAAGAGACCTCAAAGCCCGCCCCACAGTGACACACTTCCTCCAACAAGGCCACACCTACTAATAGTGCCACTCCCTTTGGGGGCCATTTTCTTTCAAGTCACCACAATGCTTAACCAGCAAACTTTGAAAATATCAGCACTGCATAACCCTCCCCGACACCCCACCAAACCACAATGAGAACCACCATCACTGAGGATGTCCCACTTCTCTGCTGTTTTAAAGTTTCCAGATTTTTCTTGCTGTTTATGTTCTTGTCTCTTCCACCAGACATCTTGGTTCGATCTTTAAAGTCATTTAGATTCCATTTTAGTGAGGTGATCCAAAGGAAACATCTGCCAGTTTAAACTAGAATGCCCAGAATGTTCTTTGCTCTTTGCCTCAACTGAAGCATGACTTTCTCTCAAGAATCCTCTTTTGTTGTCATCAAAAACTCTGGGGCACAGGGTGGGAGCACATTCTCTCCACTCACACTTGCGTCTCCAGACACTTGCTGTAGGTTCTTGGGACCCACCTCCCTCACTGAAGGTAGTGATATCAACTTTTGGTGTCCCATGGTCCTAAGGTAGTATGCTGGCTTACTGGGGCAGCCGTAACAAAATGTTGAACTGTGAATTTGGTAGCTTACACAACAGGAATTTGTTTTCAAGCAGTTCTGGGTGCTACAATCCAAGACGAAGATGTTTTCAAGGTTCATCTCTCCTGGCATCTTTCTCCTCCACCTAGAGGCAATGGTATTTGGGTCCTCGGGTCTTCTGGGTGCCTGCTCATCAGTGTTCTCATCTTTTCCTCTCACAAAGATGTCAGCAGAATGGATGAGGTCCCCACCCACACAGCATCATTTTACCTTAATTATCTTTTAAAGTTGCCATCTCCCAATGGTCTTAAAGATCTTAGGGATTAGAATCTCAGCAAATGAATTTGGGTTTCAATGCATCCCATAATAGGCAATATCTTTTAAAGCATGCTCAAGGGTCAATTTATATCAAATTTCCCATCGTGTTTATTAAAATGCAGGTTCCTGGGCCAAACCCAGCTATGCTAATTGGAGTCCCAGTTCTATGCCTGGTGTGCTAGTTAGGAAAGAGAGTCCCAATGAGCCATTATTTTGATCAGGTTGACCTGTGGACACATCTTTTGGGATGTGTCTTAATTGTTAATTGATTAGGAACATCCATTGACTGGGCCCTAAACTGTAAGAATGAGCAGGAAGCCAGCAAGGGCTTGTTTATTCTCTCATTGCTCTTGACTGTGGATGTGGTGTGACTAGCTGCTTGAGTTTCTGCCTTGACGTCCCTGAAACAATGGACCATAACCTGGAATTATAAGCCAAATAAACCCTTTCTTCCCAAAGCTGGTTTTGATTAGGGTATTTGTCACAGCAACAGAAGTGGACACAGCTAATGAGAATATTAGAAAGAGCACCTCTTGCCTTTCCCAGCCTTCGTGGGACCTGATCCATCCCTGAGTCCCTCTGGCACCATCCCTGAGTCCCTCTGGCACCATTGTTTCCACATTGTGCCAGGGTCATTCCATTCTCAGTGTGAGGGGATCAGTTTGAGAAGCAAAACCACAAACTGTTATCCATGTGGAGAAAAAGCTCTAAAATCAGGTAAAGAATGAGTGGACTAGGCAGATAATAGGCTCAATCTATCACTTGAAGGGGGAACTGCAGGGCATGGTGTGTAAAGGCCATGAAAACCAGCTGTGGTAAACTTCCTGGGCAGCTGTTGTCTGAAAGGCAAAGTCCATCCAAGCCAGGGCAAGGAGTCTGACAGTCGAGGTCGTGGGAGGAGATGGCTCCCACAGACTCCATATTGGCTACGCATAGAATACAGGCTTTTCGTGGCTGTAATTTGAGTGCTGTGCTGTTAAAGAGCCATTTCAATGAGGAAAAAATTAGTGATTAATATAGATGGAATGAATGGCTGTCTGTCTGTCCTGCTATAAAGACAGTTTGATGCCCCCTGCCAGTCTTTGGTGGTTCTTCGGCACCTCTGCTAACTCAAATTCCTTGAACTCACTCTTTTTGGCTCATGAAAATTTCCTCTCATGCTTAGAGCACACTCCTGTCTTCTCTCAGATCTCCTGTGGTCCACACTGTTCCTTGGACCACTACTCAGAGCCAAAGGCAATGTCCCACTCCTCTAGTAGGTAACAAATAATGTGCATGGCTGGGCTGTGGTGGCAAAGGACTTTAATCCCACCATTGGGGAGGAAGAGGCAGGTGGATCTCTGAGTTTGAGGCCAGCCTGGTCTACAGAGCGAGTTCCAGGACAGGCCCCAAAGCTATAGAGAAACCCTGCCTCAAAAAAAAAAAAATGTGCATGGTTTCCCAGAGACCTTTAATGGAGAGTCTTGCAGTCATGTACAAAGAGTAAATACCAATTTAAAATCAATCCTTAGAGTCTGAAGTTGTGTGTTCCCAGTTTACTTACAAAATCATGGCCAGCCAAATAAGCAATTAATGTCATGTCTAGTTGTTCAGAGGATTTGGGGAGTGATTGTACTGATTAGAGATGAGGACAAAGCATGCACCAACTCACAATTTATTTCCACCTAGCCTTTCCCTCAGGAGATGGCAAAATAAATGAGATTCACTTTCTCCACTGTGATTACACACTCCTGATGAGTGGGCAAGAGTCCGTTGGACATGAGTGTTGAATATTGCTGCTGCTCGTTAATCAGATTGAACCATAATTTTTAAATTGAAGCCCAAGAGGCTCTGGTACTTGCCCATCTGTTTAACGTCTCTCACTGCTGATGACTAGCAATGCAATTATGTTCAATTGTCCACAGTCTTGCCAGGCAGAGTTGGGGACCTCAGTGGCTGGTGGGCTCAGAGGGACCCTTACGGAGTAAGGGCTTGTCAGGACCTCCAAAGGAACAGATCTTAGACCTCTGGGACAAAGGGGATGAGGATCCCCAGGAATGGGATTTCTATGTTTGTTACCATTTTGCTTTTAGGAATTTTCCAGCAACATGACTACAAAAGCAAGACTAACCAGCAAATCAGGCTGGAACAAGGCTGAGGTTGGAGGTTTTAATTTTCCCTTGGTTTCTTTTGCTGGCCAACGCCAGCCAGAGCTGTCCATTCCTCCTGTTATCACATCATATCGATGAGAACATGCTCCAGTCTGCTTTCTGTCAGTGTGAGCAAAAAGCTGAGGTTAAACAAGGTAAAGGGAGGAAGTATTCCTTTTAGCTCCCAGTTTTGGAGGGTTTAGTCCATGGGTGTTCCCAGGCATGTAGGGAAGCCGCAGGAGGCATGTGGCAAACCGAAGTGACATGGAAACTAGGAAACATGGTAACAGAGAGGTAGAGATGGAGAAGAAAGGGTCAAGTACAAAAATATAGCCTTCAAGACATGCCCCCAAGATCTACTTCCTCCAGTAGGCCCCACATCACAAATTTTCCACCACTTTAGCAGCCTAAGGTAGGAATCCATGAATGAATTAACATGAGGCCAGAGTCCTTATGATCCTGTCACTCCCAAAGTTCTACCTCTGAATAGCACTGGGGACTGAGCTTTCAACATATGAGATTTTTGGGGACACATAAGATCCAGACCCTAGCATAACATGTACAGCACTGCTTATACAAAGGCATGTAGCATTTGAATTTTGAAAATTTCCTGGGGGAGGCAGGGATGATTTAATTTTGAGAAATGTGATTCTGTGGGGGAGGTAATGTTGGGGGGCAAGAGATGTTTTCCTGAACTTCAACCATGCTTGAAGTGTCTACCAGCACCTGTTTAACTCAAGGCAGGTCTTCATGGACAATGCTTTTTCGCCTTCTG